AAAAAAAAAAAAAAAAAAAAAAAAAAAAAAAAAAGCATAAAACATGAATAGATGCTTTTCAAAAAAAAGACAAACATGTGCCTAACAAGCATGTGCAAAACATGCTTACCACTAATTCCTAGAGGAAAAAAAAAAAAAAAAAAAAAAAAACAAACCACAGTGAGATACCATCTCAGCATGGCTGTTAGAAAGTCAATAACAGGCCGGCACAGTAATCCCAGCACTTAGGGAGGCCAAGGCAGGCAGATCACTCGAGGTCATGAGTTTGAGAGCAGCCTGGCCAAAATGGAGAAACCCCATCTTTACTAAAAATACAAAAATTGGCTGGGTGCAGTGGCTCATGCCTGCAATTCCATTACTTTGGGAGGCCGAGATGGGCGGATCACGAGGTCAGGAGTTTGAAACCAGCCTGGCTAATATGGTGAAACCCCATCTCTACTAAAAGTACAAAAATTAACTGGGCATGGTGGCAGGCACCTGTAGTCCCAGCTACTCAGAAGCCTGAGGCAGGAGAATCACTTGAACCCAGGTGGTGGTGAAGGCTGCAGTGAGCCAAGATTGTGCCACTGCACTTGTCTGGGTGACAGAGCAAGACTCCATCTCAAAAAATAAAAAGAAAAAAAAATTAGTCAGGCTTGGTGGGGCACATCTGTAGTTTTAGATACTCAAGAAACTAAGGTATGAGAACCTGTTGAACCCAGGAAATGGAGGTTAAAATAAGCTGAGATCATACCACTGCACTCCATCCTAGGTGACAGAGTGAGACTCTGTCTCAAATACAAACGTCAATAACAGATGCTGGCAAGGTTGCAGAGAAAATGGAATGTTTACACACTGCTGGTAGAAGGGTAAACTAGTTCAACTATTGTGAAAAGCAGTGCGGCGATTCCTCACAGAGCTGAAACAGAATTACTATTTGACAAAGAAACCTTCAAATTTGGTGTATACCCAAAGAAATATTAATTATTCTACCATAAAGACACATGCACATACATGTTTATCACAGCACTGCTTGCAATAACAAAGACATGGACCGGGCGCAGTGGCTCATGCCTGTAATCCCAGCACTTTGGGAGGTCGAGGCAAGCAGATCACCTGATGTCAGGAGTTTGAGACCAGCCTGGATCAGCATGGCTGATCTCAAAAAAAAAAACAAAAAAAAAAACCCCATCTCTATGAAACATACAAAAATTAGCTGGGTGTGGTGGCATGCGCCTGTAGTCCCAGCTACTTGGGAGGCTGAGATGAGATAATCACTTGAACCCGGGAGGTGGAGATTTCAGTGAGCTGAGACCATCCTATTGCACTCCAGCCTGGGTGACAGATGAGACTCAGTCTCAAAACAAAACAAACCTCGGGATTCCCACAACCTTCCTCCAGTTTAATAATTTGATCAAGCTGCTCACAGAACTCAGCAAAACAATGTAGTTATATTTACTGGTTTGTTATTATCATTATTTTTTTTAAAGACAGGGTTTCACCACGTTGGTCAGGCTGGTCTTGAACTCCCGACCTCAGGTGATCCACCCGCCTCCAAAGTGCTTGGATTACAGGCGTGAGCAACCACGCCTGGCCTTACTGGTTTGTTATTTAAAAATATACAACCCAGGAAAAGTCAAATGGAAGAAATGTATACGACAAAGAAAAGAGTTGGGGAACAATGAAGCGCACACATTATTATCTGGGTAAATAGCTGTGATTAGTAAAATTTTTCATCTTTTGTGTTCTCTAGAAACAGTTTCTGGAAAAAACACCCTTCCCATTATGACTTAGATGGTGCTCTCTTTTCTTATTTACCTCATAGCCAGGCACAGACTCTGTCAGAAGCACATTGAACCACAGCAACTCCATTTTGAATTGGGGCTGAGTAAAAATAAGGCTGAGACCCACTGGGCTGCAGTCCCAGATGATTAGGCGTTTTAACTCATAAGATGAGACAGGAGGTCAGCACAAGATACAGGTCATAAAGACCTGGCTGATAACACAGGTTGCACTATAGAAGCAGGATAAAGCCCACCAAAATTAACATGGCATGAGAACGACCTCTGGTTGTCCTCTCTGCTACACTCCCACAAGTTCTATGATAGTTTACAAATGCCATGACAATGTCAGGAAGTTACCCTATAATAGTTTAAAAAGGAGAGGCATAAATATTCTACCCCTTGTTTAGCATATAATCAAGAAATAACCATAAAAATGTGCAACTAGCAGCCCTTAGGACTTCTGCCAATGGAGTGAGACATTCTTTTATTGCCAGAAGTTAAAACTCCTGATCAGAGGATATTAACCACAAGTTAAAACTTCTCTAATTCAGAGGCTGAATTAACAATGATAGGGCACAACTGGGGACAAGTTTAAGTCTTGCCAGTTTGATATCGGTTGCTACAAAGAGTGGCTAATGTCTATGTTTCTCACACATATTTGGCTCTGGCCAGAAGAGAAAAAGATAATTTTCTTTTATGTTGTGGCTTGGCCCCCAGGGTTGTGGTGCAGCCAGCCACGTCACTAGGGCCACTCAGGGAAAGGAAACCCAGAAGCCTGGCATGCTGGAAAAAGGGTACAAATGGCCGGGCGTGGTGGCTCACAACTGTAATCCAAGCACTTTGGAGGCCAAGGCGGGAGGATAGGCTACAAATGGGTTACCAGGCCTCTCCCCTCTATGCAAACTGATTGAATGAATGGTTAAAAACAAAAACACTGAGGCCGGGCGCGGTGGCTCAAGCCTGTAATCCCAGCACTTTGGGAGGCCGAGGCGGGTGGATCACGAGGTCCAGAGATCG